GAGATTTTGTGGAGCTGCATTACTAGCTGCCCTGGGCCGCATGCAGCCCGCAAGCCATGGGTTGGACATTCCTGCCCTACATTCTGCTCTGACTGGCCTTGAGTGGGTGCAGTCCAATGCATATGCACAGCCTTCCCAACACCCAGAGCTGACTCGGGTCTCAGGAGCTCTCTTCTGGGCTCTTGCCATGATTCTATTACATTTACGGCAGCTCTGCTGTTTCAACTGAGTGGTGGATCTACAGTCTCCTTTCTTGCTCTCCATCAGGATCTCTGTTGTTTTTGACAATACCCTTTGGCCTGCAGTTCTCCAGGTTCTGTTCAAATAAAGTCAGTCCACTCAGGCAGAGCTGCATTGCTCTTCACCCTGATGGCCTTTTCCCTGGAAAAAGCCCTGAGCTCTGAAATGGAGGGTAGAAACCCTGTTCTGGGAATGACATCCTTGCTCTCCAAGTGAGCATTGAGGGAGGACGAGGTGGCAGTCCCTGGTCTTCTTGGCTTGCCTCCTTTAGCATGGAATGTCCACCTCATGAGAGGGCAATGAGGTCCCATATTCATGGCCTGCTGTAGAGTTTCAGTCTTGCAAGTGGAAGGAGGCCCTAGGCCCCTTAGCCACTTTTGCCTGGGGAAAAATGAGACATGAAGAAACCCATCCCTCCTAAGATGAAAATGTAGCCTCAGACAGGGCATTGAGGAGACAGGGAACCTCCCTCTTCTGGGCTATATCTGCCTAGGGCCCAGAATAGAGCTTCTGGAATCTGGAGCTGTACGGGAGGAGGGGTATGGGAGGTCATGGCTCAAATGCCACAGACTTTGGCTGTTCTGGCCATTATGTAGTATTTTCTTTAATGAATGTCTCTCCATTTGCTGTATGTCCTTAGGACAGTTTCCAGAGATTTAACATGATTGTATTTTGTTTTTGAAAATAATTTTCCCTGGTTTAATTGATGCGTTACTGAGGAGAATGTCTACAGAGCTTGTTCCTCTGTGCCTCTGGAATTCCTGCTGGCTTGGTATGCCTTCTGGAGTAGGAACGAATGACTGCATCGCTAGTTCACAGGGCATTACATAAACCCCTTGACACACACTGGGCATGTGGCCTAGACCAACCTAATTTCATGCCATGATTTCTTAAGTCCTAAGCATAAAATAAACTCAAGCAATTTGTTCTGTTCTATGTGTACCAAATTGGTTAGCAAGACTTTGCTTTTATTTCTAATGAAGGAAACATGTGAGTTCACTTTTTCAGTGTGGCTTCAGTGAAACATTCAGAGAAAAAGGAGTTTACCTTTAGAAACCTTCTAAAGAACATTAAAGCTTACAAATCAAATAAACTTTCCCAAATTGCAATTGTATTTATATGAAAAGTCCTTGGGTGTACTGAAACATTCAAGAATGCATAACTTGCTTTAAATTTCAAGTTTAATATTAATTTTATAATTTTCCAATAATTTTTTCTAGCAGAAATTTAAGTGTCTTTTAAAGCTTTAGGGGCCTTTCAGACTTACTCAGACACATCACTTGGTCTCTCCTAGATTACATTAAATTAGATCCACAGTCCTAGACTGTCACTCTCCCTTATATTACTCAGACATTCACATACCATTTTTATTATTTTCGCCATATTTCTACATTTTTTCTGTATTTGTGTATCATCTGCACTTCTTCACTTAACATTTTTCTTTGTAACGCATTTTAAAGTATTTATTTTTTTCTTTTTTTTTTTTTGAGTTGGAGTCTCACTCTGTCACCCAGACTGGAGTGCAGTGGCCGCTCCCGGCCACTGCAGCCTCGACCTGCTGGACTCCGGCGATCCTTTCGCCTCAGCCTTCCAAGTAGCTGGAACTACAGGCGTGCGCTACCACACCTGGCTAATTTTTGATTTATTGTAGAGATGAAGTCTTGCTGCCCAGGCGGGTCGCGAACCCGCGGGCTCAGGCAATCCACTCACTTCAGCCTCCCAAAGGTGCGGGATTACAGGTTGAGCCACCAAGCCCGGCTAAGTATTTATTTCTAAATGCATTCATTTTCAAAACATTTATCAATAGGGCAAATAGCCAATTAGTTAATATAACGAAAATAAAATTTGCTCAAATTTCTAGCTAGATGTTGTTAAAAGCTCTGAGGTTGAGGCCTACTTTCTCTGTAAAAAAAAAACAAAAAAACTATGTAAACTGAGTGCTGTGGCTCATGCCTGTAACTCAGTTATTTGGGAGACTGAGGCAGGAATATCACCTGAGGACAGGAGTTCAAGACCAACTTGGGCAATACAGCTAAACCTCCATCTCTCTCTCTCTCTCTCTTTTTTTTTTTTTTAACAGAGAACTGTGTAATAGCCATATTTAATTAGTGCTTACTGTCATAAGCACTTTAAACATGGTATCTCATTTAATATTCATAACAGCTGTATAAGGTAGATTGTTTCCCCTGTTTTACCCAACAGGAAACTGAGGTACAAAATAGAGTAGATGGCAGAGTCAGGATCAGGAGGCAGTCTGGAGTCAGTGCATAACAGCCGTACTCCTGCTTATTAGATAATATTAAAGAGAAGTGATCCTTTATGATTTAATGTCATCTCTGCCTCACTACATTGGCAGTACAAGGCCTTACTAGGAAGCACTGGTCTCAGAGGATGTCTAGACACCCTGGAGAAAGGCATCTTCCTTCCACACTCAAGAGACATGTGGTCATCGCCTTTTGGAAATGCGCATTTTATATCGGCCTCTAGAAGGTGCTCAAAGTCCTGCGGCAAAGACTCTTTTAAGCTTTAACATCGTATTTCTCAAGCTTATTGCATCTCAGAATTCTTTTAAAGAGGAACGTGTGTTCCTATCTCAGATTTGAATGTTCTATGGTGCAGTTTGGGAATCACCAGATTCATCTGAGCATTTAGAATGAAATTCATTTCATTCAAAAATATTCCTAATATATAATAAAGGTGAAGAAGCCATTTCTTCCTTGAAAGGGGTTACAGATATTCAAATCGAGTTTCCGTTACTAAATGAAATTTCTTATGCCATCAAATCCAGATAACTTCAGAATGTTACCCGCTTTCCAAAACTCCTTCTAGTTCTTCCATGTCCCCTTCCTACTCAAGCAACAGCAGCAAGTTCCACCAGGTGACGATCTTCCTCATAGCCAGTTTCACTGGGCGACATCAGCAGTCACCGGCAAACAAAATCCTGGGCATTTGAATACAGTAAAGAAGCTACCACCATGGGCACTCTGGGTTCAGAGTTCAGTAAACGCGGAAGTTATTTCAACAAGTTTACAAAAAAGGGAAATCGCCTTGTGAGGGAATGATGTATGTGATAAATAATGCACTTCCCATTGTCACCACTGACATCTACTTCAGTGTGTGAGCTGCTCAGCAAGTCTAAAGAACTCAGTTTCTTTCTCTCTCTCTCTTTTTTTTTTTTGAGTTAGAGTCTCACTCTGTTGCCCAGGCTGAAGTGCAGTGGCATGCTCACGGCCGCTGCAGCCTCAACCTGCTGGGCTCAGGTGATCCCTCTGCCTCAACCTTCCAAGTAGCTGGAATCACACGCATGAATCATCATGCCCAGCTAATTTTTTGGCTTATTGTAGAGTTAAGGTTCCGCCAAGTTTCCCAGGCTGGTCTCGAATCCCTGGACTCAGGTAATCCTCTTTCCTCCACCACCCAAAGTGCAGGGATTACATGTGTGAACCACCGTACCTGGCCGAACTGTTTTTCGGTCAAGAAAACCAAGGCCTTGGGAGGCTGATTCAAAAAACAAACAAACAAACAAAAAACCAAAAGAAAAACAAGGCCCAATGGATGATGTGTGCTCATTGTACTGCTTTCACCAGGAGGGACACAGTGGCATCGAGGGCAGCTGTAAGAGTGCACCACTCCATGTGGGATACACCTCTTGTGACATCAGGCCTTTGGAAATTCTGGCCACCTCACTGCTTCCATGTTTCCATTGGCAGGAGCATGTTTGAGTTCAGGGCACTCAATGGCTCCAGCTGTCTTGTCAGGAGTCCTACAGTGAAGCCCTCTTTGGTCTAAGGTGGTCCCTTCTTCCCTATGTCCCTCTATTCTCAGGGCAGGGTTTCTCTTGTCTTGCTCTTTTTTCTAGAGGTTGTTGTGTCTATAAGAAACAGTTGCCTTCTTGTTTGCTTTTATTGTTAAATTTTTATTTTATTATAGAGATGTGAGGTCCAAGTAAGGATTAGCTACACAAGTAGGCTGCATGCAGGTGAAGTTTGGGCCTCCAACTGGCCCTCACTTCCCCTAGTAAAAGACCAGACACCCTTTGTGTTGTTCTGTGGCCCCTGCTCCCACCCCTGGCGGTGCCCAGTGACTGTGATCCCTTCCTTGTGCTAACGTGATTAATGTTCAGGTCCCACTTATGAGTGAGAACATATGGTATTCAGTTCTTTGTTTCTGTGATAGATCACTAAGTATGATGGTCTCCAACACCATCGAATTTGCTGCAAAGTTCATGATTTTGTTCTTTATGGCTGCATAATACTCCATCGTGTACATGTACCACATTCACCTTCTTTTTCCTCTCATCTGCCTTTAAGAAGTAGGAGGAATAGAGTCTCTGATGGGGCACCTGAGGAGCCTGCTCTTTCAGCCTGCAAACAGGGCACCTGGGACAATGTCCTATTTACCAGGTGGTGGCAAGGGCTTCTGCGAAGAGCCCCTGAAAAAAGATCAGGGACACTTACCACTTCCAAACTTACCATAAATTCATAAGCTTTGATTTAGGAATCTAGTGGATATGAAAAAAATGATCTGATGAAGAGACAGAGTTGATAGTCAAGCGTTGCATCCTCAACTTGAAAACAGAGGCAGAGTTTTAAATTGGCACTCCTCAGTTTCCTGTCAGGAACTTGATCACCAAACAGATGAGGTTTACCACCTCCTCCCAACCCACAGCTCATACAGCATCATTTAAGAGCTAAAAAAAAAAAAATGGAAAATAAAAACAGATGAACAAAAACAGAAATAACTAAACTCTGGGAATAGAATTGCTTAACCATTTCTTTGCATTTTTATTGATTTTTTTTAAAAAAAAGTCTGCCCAGTTACGACAATGAAATGGGAAACCACAATTACAATTCACAAACTGCAGCATGAAAAACAACACACACCCCATCAGGAATAACATCAAACCCTTTCCTTTTTATTCATTCAAAAGAGAGTCCAATACACAAGTGTCAAATATGAGCACTGTCATTTTTTTTTTCTTAGAAGGGGGAAAAAACATTTATTCTGGCAGCGCTTTTACAATTCCAGGAAGTGGTTTTGATACCACAAGTTGCAGGAATAGAAACCATAACAAACTTGGAGGGCATTTGTTTGAGAGGCAAGGGACGCCTTGGGTGAAAAACATTCCTCTTGTGCTTAGTGAATCGCCTGTCAGCCTTGGCTGGCTGCTGAGTCTTCCCAGGTGTGGAAAGAGAAAAGGGAATTTCCTGCTTAGACAGCTGAAAATTCCTGTAGAGCAGTGTTTTCTGTGTCTCCAACCCTCCCCCCATCCTGAAGCAAGTTCTTGAGCTTCTGTGGAGCATCTTTGGGTCACATGACCTTCCATCATGTTAACCTTTTTGCTAAAACACATGTGATACCAAGGTTTCTTCTTATACTGCTTCTCTAGGGTTCAGATGACAGCACAACACATCACTTGTCAAAAATATCAGCTATTAAGAATGTGGGCATTTATGTTCACGGTAATATAGCAAATACTTTGCAGGGTGTGTCACCCAAAGGATTTTTTTTCATTTAATATGGTCCCCTGGGGAGTTAGCCCAAAGTCGCATACTTAAGAGCCTTTTGCTAAAGACCCGTTAAAGCTGGTTAATTTGACAGCTGAGGAACTGTCTCGTGCCAATTCAAAAACTCATACTGCCCAACAATTCAATGGTCCAAAATGCAATTAAATGTTACCATTCAGTTTTACACACACATGTACACGCGCACGCACACACACGAGAACTGTGACAAAAGGATTAACCATATTAATCTTGTGATTCCTAGAAGAAAATGAAATCTCCAACTCCAGGTGTCCTATTCAAGTACTAAAGAACACAAGAATAGTCTGATCCCATTTGCTTTTATGATCCTAAGACACCATACTCGTTTAACTGGAGATTCTGGAGTCAATGAAGCCAACTCCTGGGGCACAAAATAGTCTATTAAAAGTCAATTTGTGATTTCTGGCAAGGCAGCTGCTTGCTTGTTATTTAAAAAAAATATATGTGGAGACTTTGTATACTGTGGCCTTCCAAGAGTCAATACTTTATGAAAGAAGTAAAAGAGTAATACCAGCTGACACTTTTTTTGTCTGACAACACAGTTTTACACATTTTCAATCAACACATGGAAGAGGAGATATAAACAGAGTTCTTTACATTCTTCAAAGAATGAGTTACTATCGCAGCGTATGCTGTTTGGCCCCAATTAGGAGTAGAATAGAGAGTAATTTGTTTGGTTTGCTTCTTAAGTTTTACCTCTTGGAGGTTTTTAAAACAAGGGTTTTACTAGTTCTTGGCAGTAGATCATCAAACCAGAGGCTCTGTATTTATAAACAACCAACATGGGATTATGCTCTCCAGTTAGGTAGTTCACTATCTTAAGGTCTGACAGCCAGATGTGGAGGGCTTGCAAAGTGCCCTGCTAAATTTCACAGACTATTCTAGAAAAGAAAGGTACTCTTTAGGAGAGCTCTTTGTATGATTCAGAACTGACGCCTGATTATCTTAAGTTATTAAAAGACTGGTTTTCCATGGACTCTCTGTTCTCTTTGGCCCCCAAGAATGCCCCACCTCTACCTAGCATTAATGATAGGTGGTGAAACAAAAAGAATAATCCCGCTACCATGCCCGACAATTTATATAGGCAGGGATCTTTATAGAGAAGAAGGGAAAGGACACTGTCTGAAATCCACATTTAAGGTTTTTGCTGATTATTGGCAATCTCTATGAACCAGCAATTAATTCATGGGCTAATAGGTATTTTTATAATCTGAGGAGGATTCAAGAATAAAGAAAAAAGCAAAGAAGTCTTACACTAAAATAAGAAATCAGCCCCATCTTGGCACAGTTCTCATGCAGAATATTGCACCCAGTGTGAACTAACGCTAGAAGCTTCAAACTGTATAAATTTAAATGTATTTGCATATTATAAAAATAAAGATAAACATATACATATTTTACACTAGTTTACGGAACAGCAATGAACGTCAGTCGATCCCTCTTTCACATTTAACAGAACTGAAATCTGAGTGCTCTAAATACTGCCACCTGCACTGAAACTATGGCTTATATGTGCATGGAAAACAAAATCCCTGAGAAGCCATTCGACTTTTTTTTTCTTTTCTTCAAGTAGCACGCTCCTTGGAGGATCACAGTTCTGAGGTTCAGGTTGTAAAACGTTTGCTCTATATCCTCGCCCATCCTTCCCCTGCCCCTCCCACCTCTCTCCTCTGAAAGCACGCTTTGCCACTCAAGTTCACAGAATGCGCTGGGGAGCACGGAGGGGTTGCCAGGGTGAGAGGTGGTCTGGGTGAGTTCGGATGCTCTCTTTCTCCATGGAAATCCCACAGCCACCGGAGTCACTGGTTTCTGTGCTTTTCACCAACGTTCTTCCTATATGGGTGGATGAGAAGAAAGCACAAGAATGACAAAAGGTACTGGACAATGATATCCTCAATTGTAAGAAAAGGAAGTGATGATCTACATCTATTTTCTGTACAGATTTTCATTTTGATGTCTAGTATCCCTTATAAACATGTACATATTGGGCAACTAATGTCCCACAAGGAAAAAAGTTGTTCTAGTAGTAAATTTGCCAAACGTTTTGGTTAGCGATGTTAAATTCGGTTCAGTCATCAAGAGGGAACTGTGCTAATTGGCTTTGACTACTTATTCCATTGTAATTTCAGCTTCACTAGATGTCTAATTAACAACCTCAAACACTGCCACACATGGTTACACAAAGACACACAGTAAATAACCCTCCTGGAATAGGCATAGATACTAAAAAGTAAGATGTCTGTCTAGACTAAAAAGCATGATTTTACTTAAAAATGTTATAGACGAGTTTTGTCAAAATCTGGAGTTTCATGACTATAAAATGAAGAAACTGCTGTACCTTCAGTGAATTAAAGTCGCATTCAATTCAGACAAAATGGTTAGAGGGAAAAATGTCAAACACGGCTATCTCTTATTTCAGTTTTTGCACAAAGGTATGCATCAGATTTTTTTTTTAGAGTTGGAGGTCAGAATATCTTTTAAAAGCATTTTAGTGACATTCAATAAAACATACAAAGACACTGAAAGGAAAGGAAAAAGGAATTATGATCCGTTTTCCCCAAGCCCTCACCTCTCCCAATGCTGCTTAACTTTATGGACACTAAGAATCCAGTATCCACCTAAACCATCTCTCCAGCTCATGGAATTGCCCATGGGCTCATTCAAGCATGATAACAATAACGACATTATCCCAAATAAGGCTCTTCCGTTTACTAACTGTATGCCAGGAATTGCGCCATTCACTCAAATGCGTTATTTGGCTCATCTTCAACTCCTAACAATCCCACCAGGTAAGCTCCCTCTTACTCTACATTTTACTAAGAAGGAAACTAAGGTGCCAAGAGATGAAGTTGCTTCCCTGAGGGTGCATACTAGTGAGCGGAAGAGCCAAGTCTTTAGGGTGGTCGAACTCCAAAGCATGCTTGAAAGCTAAGAGAAGCTGGATATTACTTGCGGACTTAGGGAGAATTTCACATTTCTATAGAACTCAGTCATAAGAACTTTTTGAAGGCCTATTAATATGGTAAGCTCCCAGAAGGTTCTGAAAACTGCCTCAAATTCAAGTAATAATAAATCTAACCATAAAGAGGACGGCAGTGTAAAAACACACATCTCAACCAAGCAGTAAACTTTGGTGGTGTGAGTTTCTGGTTCGTGTGAGAGATGTGCTACGTACACATTTCTCACTGAATTTAAGGACCCTTCAGAAATGCAGACAGTCAGTCATGCCTGGCTGTCTGCTTCCCTGAGCCACACGTAAGACTGAGAAACACAAGCATTCCTAAGCAAGGCCAGCTAGATGGAACGTCCCACAGTTCAACCAGTTTGAACACTTTTTCCACACCAATACTGCGTGGAATCCACATCTGGGATAGCAGGGAAAAGAACCATTAAATTGCTAACCTTTTCTCTTCCTCCTCCCTACTTCTCCATCTCAGTAAGTTCATCATACTTCTTCAAGATCCACCTCAAATACTACCTCCTGGAACGGCACTTGTCCTGATTCTTCCTGATAGAGTTCTTTTTTTCTCTGTGCTTACAACTATTTCCGTTCTCTGTTCATACACTTATCATATTTTAATTTTAATTAGGCATTGACGAGTTTGTCTGGTTATCATTTTAATTCTCATTCTCTCTAAGGAGGCTATTCGATCCTGGAGGGCAGGGTCTGACTTAGCTATTTCCGCATCCTCAACAACTGGCACAATGCCTACTAGAGGACAAATTCTCAAGAAAGATCTGTGGAATGAATGATGAATAAGGTGTGATGAAGAAGCCACTGGTAAGACGGAGCCAAGATACTAGGCAATCATTACTATAATGGAGGTATATAAAAGTATTAAGGAGATATAAAGAAAGACCAATTACAGTTAGAGGGATTGGGGTGGTTTCCTACAGGAGCTGACACATGGCCTTGGCAACCTCAGGGACCTGTGGGCCATCATGGGGTGGGAGAGAAGGGTGGCAGCCAGCAGAGGACTGAGAGCCAGCCAGGGTGCACCAAGGTTGACCTTCCACAATAACGGGGAGAGTGTTGGCAGTGGCTGGGGTCTGACTGTGAAGGGCCTTGTGAGCCTGTCCAGGAGTTTGATCTTGAGCCTATAATCACCAGGGAGCCATCCAATGCTTTTCAACAAGGAGAACTGTGATAGGGTGTGATGGTAAAAGATAATATTGGGCTGAAGGACAAAGGGACTAGAAAGGAGAAGGCCAGCTGAGACTCAATCACAGAAGCTTGGCAGAGACAGGGTGGGGTGACTAGGGGGAAGCTTGCAATGAAGAGGAATTTATGTGGCGAAATTCACTCATGTCACGACACAATGATGAGATGGGATAACAGGTCTTGGTCGACGATGGCATATGGGAAAGAAAGGAGAGGAAGGTGTTGAGGCTCACGGAGTCCTAGTGCGGGGAGATGAGTGCAAGGTGATGCCATTACCTGAGACTGAAAACCGAATGAAGAAGAGTCTTGGGAGAGGAAGCCTAGGGAACACCCAGGGGCGCTGCCAGGTAGGACATTGGAAAAATAAGTCTGGAGCAGAAGGGAGGGGCTGACTTGGGGGACTCAGACCCAGAATCCTCCCAGGTTAGAGAACCTGCCCTTCCTGGGACACAACAAAAAAAATTATGACTCAAGGAATGGAGATGCTTAGGCTGAAATGGAAGCCATAAGATGTTATATTAAATGTGTCTTCTATTTTCTGTATTCTGCCGCTTCCCTATCTGGGTCATGCTGATCCTGGAGGGACTGCCCCTCGCAGGGTTGGCCAATTCCTAGAGATAGTAAAACACATGCCTGAGAATGTACTTTTCAAATACAAATCAACTAATCCTAAGCCCACAGCCCCACCACCTTCTCTATCAGGTTTTCACACTCTAGGCTACTATCAGCCTCACCTAATCATCCCAGGGGCAGGTACCAGACAACTAAGGACAACCCGTATGTCCCAGGGTTGCTGAAAATTATTCAAACTGCCAGTCCGGAGCCTACTTACCCTGCTTTGCCCGTTCTTTCCTGTGGAAACCATACAAAAGACTCCTGCCCCACAGTCCCTCCCTCCCTCTGCTTCGTGACTAGCCTTGGTACTTCCCTGTGTAGTACTGGATGGCGTGGGTCCACCTGACGTCATAGTCTGCATAATAGTAGAGTACATTTTTTAAAAAAATTACTTCCTTTTTCCAACAAGGATCTAAGATTACTGATGTATACAATATCATAGCAAATTAAGCAAAAGAGTCAATCAGTATCCTTATTCCTAATTCCCAAATGCAACTTGAGTCTAGAGAAGTAAAGATTTGTCATCTTAGGATGTCCTGCTCTATAGAATCCCTTTATCCCAACACCCCTTTTCCCACCCGCAAACTCTCCAAGTCCTCAGGAAGGCCTTACCTATTTAAGACATTCTCTCTGCTTCACAGAGACTTACCCTTAAAAATTGGTGCTCCTAGAGTCACAGTTTGGGTACAGTAAAAATGATGGCATAAGGAAAAGAAGCACTATCTTTTCCACTTAATTTTCCAAGAAAGTATGAAGATACCTAAGCAGAGAGGGGAAAAATTCCAGTATCAATGTGTCTGATGGGAGACTAAATAATTAAAGAAACCCAACTCCTCCTAGCCTGCAAAGGCAGCAAGGCAAAGAGCTGTCTCGCTCCTTGCAGAGAACAAAACAAATCGATGCAAATCAATGTGATACACTCCACAGGCAACCTCCACACTTCGCCTTTTCTTACAAAATACCATCCCATCCCCACCCTCCATGTTTTAAAAGTCTGTGGTCAGTACAAAATTCTCCATTGTGATGAAGCCATATTCATCTAGCTTCTGTGCTCTTTAAAAATTGTTTTTATGGAGTCCATACTAACTGATCAGTGTACTGTTAGGTACACTTTGCCTGTTTATTTGGTGAGATAAAGGTTGAATAGTTTTCATCCTTTTTTTAATGAAAGGCTATTTCGAGTGGTCGTAAATGTCTTTGTGTCAAAACAATGTAATAGCCAAAATTCCTGCGCAAAGTAATCACTGTACTTTTGGGAATACTTACAAACAACAAGTAACTGGAATTTAGTGGGGGATTTTGCTTTGAGTGGGCACTCTACAGTATATAGGCAATAATCCAAGATCTTAAACTGGAATTCTGAAATACAGCAGCTCAGTCTTGTCCTCTGTTATGAGTGGTACTTTTTGGAAAAGGAGAAAGTTTAGCCCAACAACTTTCAAACCAGACCATTTTGTGCTAATTCTAGAATACATGACCTGCCAAAGTCAGAATTAACTTGCTTTCAATTTTCAGTCTCTGAGAATGCCTATCTCTCCATGGGTGAAGGAGCACAGACAGACACGGTACCACCACAAGAGAAACGTCAACTGTCAGGACATAAAAATGATACATTCGCATTTCCTGTATGTTCAAGGGTCAGTCCATTAAGAAACCACACGGAAGAAAGTGGGATGCATTCCAGTACGCCTCAAGGTAAAACATTTTCATATGCCAACCTGTTGAATTCTCTCCATCTTTTACATGAAAATCCTAGATAAACTGGATTATCTGGCAGTTTATCACAAAATATAAATATATAGTTTCATTGCTGAAGGAGGGGGTTGATCCAAACCTCTTTGGAAGAAGAAAGAGAAACATTCTGCAGAATACTTAAAACTGAAATGCAGCTGGCAAGCTGCCATTTGCCCAAAGAGGTTAATACCCCTGAAATCCGGAATATTGTGTCTCAACCTGAACAGTAATTGGACAAAGGCAGGAATTCACAAATATGGTCTTTATTTTATTTTATTTTTTTAAGTTGGAGTCTCACTCTGCTACCCAGGTTGGAGTGCAGTGGTATGCTCATGGCTACCCCAGCGTCAACCTGCTGGGCTCCGGCGATCCCTCTGCCTCAGTCTTCCAAGTAGCTGGAACTACAGGCGTGCGCTACCACGCTCAGCTAGTTTTTTATTTTTATTTTTTTATTGTAGAGATGAGGTCTTGCCAAGTTGCCCAGGATGGTCTCAAACCTGTGGGCTCAGGCAATCCACTTGCCTCAGCCACCCAAAGTGCTGGGATTACAAACTGAGCCCCAAGCTCTGCTAACAAATACAATCTTTAGAAGACTATTCTTTCTACTTTCTCTCTACTTTCCCACTGAAAGTATATTTTTACACCTATACGACTCCTAATGTCCAAGGCTCAACATGCCTTAAATTTCTAGGAGTCAGTCAGGCTGCCATGAAGTTGTTCTGAAAAGCTGGGTGGGGTGGCACACTCCTGTGATCCCACAGCTATTCGAAAGGATCACGGGAGCCCAGAAGGTTGGGGTCAGCCTGGGCCACACAGAAATATTCCATCTCAATGAAACATTTTCAAAAATAAAAAAAAGGAAGTTCTAAAAGAGGATCCCTCCATGCAACCCTGCCTCCTTGCCAGTGTTCTGGACACAAGGGGCTGGTGGGGGTGGGGGAAGGGTGTGCAAGTTAACTCATTGCCTTTAGACTGATCTGTAGCAGAGTTAACTTGTTTATGAAAACTTCTTTAAAACTCAGAAATATGCTTAGTTATCACATACCAGCCACTGAAACCTTCCTGAAAGAGGTGCTAAAAATACTAACTGCGTGAAACCAGGTGTTGGATTAGGCACAAGTGACTGCAAATAGGTATAAGGTTTCTTTTAGGGGTGATGAAAATGTTCTAACATTAATTGTGGTGACAGTTGTGCAGCTCCGCAAATATGTTAATAATCATTGCATGGGCAAGTTTTATGGTATGGAAATTATACATCAATAAAGTTTTTTAAAGTAAGTCTGACACAATCTGTATCCTGAGAATTTTTCAGAGCAACCCAGGCATATTTGCTACCAAATGAATGTTCACTTTCTCACAAATGCAGAGGTCCTTGAAAATCAGCCCCAAAGGCCATTGCTTTGTTAAGTTCTGGTCTGGCCATGTGGCTTTTTGAGTTGTGGCCACTATGTTTTCCTAAGCTCTGGTCCCCTCCCCTACCTTGGGGAGGTGAATCCCCTTTCTCTCTCCAATTTAATTTCTAAATAAACTATATTTTGAATTCAAAAAAAACAAATCAGCCCTAAATATCCAAAGCATGGAAATTATTTATATTTCTATCTGATAATCAACAAAAAGGACCAGAAGTCCCTCAGTTCCTGTTTCTCCTAGAAGGTGAACTGTAGGAGGGAGGCATTTCATTCAGACCCTGTAACTTCTTCCCAAAAGGATTCTGGCTGAGACCCCAACCATCAGGCCATTGAGACAAGTTATGAGAGTAAATCACTTTAAAAAAATTCACTACCTACTCCCTATTCTCTGTCTCTCCCCACAGAGGAATACATCATCCAGAAATTTTTAAAAATGAGAAATAGTGAAGTTTAGAATTCACAAGGAAAGGCGAATCAAATAAGTCATCGATGGTCTTTTCTTTATACACTACATTGCAGCACCATTATTTTTACACATGGTCAAAGGCAGGCAGTTAAATGACAAGTGTCTAATCTGACCTATAACAAGAAGGGTAAACCAGTCAAAGAAGAGCTTAAAATGTCTTTAAAAAAACCCCAAACACCATAAAAGCTAGATCAGTGACCTAAGAGAAGAGTGATTATTCTAGTATGGCTGGGACCATTCTGCTTGAGGCCTGTCTCCTGGCATAATGATTATAATAGCCTTTCTGCCACTTCCAATCTTTTCCTGATTGTGATGTGTTCCCCCTACCTGAAAGTAGACAAGACCACACTGAGGATGACAGCAAGGCAACATGGACAGTTTTTCCTTGGTGCTACCAGCTGGTTATTGACAAGTAGGAGATCTTAAGGCACCACTGGGGAGGGAGCTCACCCTTAGATGGATGGAAGGGATCTGAGAGATCAGAAGGTCCAGCACAGATGCATTAGAATCATCTGGGTGCCTTGTGTTGTTTTTATAGACTCATGCCTGGCCTCTTCACCCTCAAATTCCTACGTGCCTTATTAAGAAAGCCTGAACTCTGAAGTGACCTGTTTAAGTTAACTTGACTAGACTGGAAAGCTAATGCAATAGCTCTAGAATTTCAGAATTTCTAGTGCCTTCTGGGACCTCAAGCCTCAGGCTCAGGCCCCAAGCTATGATGACTTAACAACTACCTCCTTGGACAGCTTTTCTCATGGATCCCCTCAAGTCTCCCACTTCCCATACATTGTCAATTACTTTGAATCAGACCTGCCACTGGGCCTGGCCCGGCCTCCATTATTATTCTTTTATTTTGGTTTTGTGTTCACAGATGAGAGCTGTGGATGCTTAAGAAGGGTGTTGGGTGGGGATGGGTAGAAAATTGGGCAGCACAAGCACAAGCTTTGAGTACTTTTATATAAATGGTCATACAAAAGATCATTTTCACCTTGCCTCTGTGCTAAAAAAAAAAGGTAATTTCCAAGAAAAGTCTTGCCAGGAATGCGAAATCTTCCTATTTAAATAGAGAATATTCCTTCATTTAGAGTTAAGAATTATATTACAAAGTTATCATCCATTTTATAAAGCTTTTTTTTTGACTCATTTCAAAATAAAAGGACCTATATAGCTAGGGTCAAAAGTGGCTCAATCTCTAAAGGTGCTCCCTCCAGCATCTAGATATCTTCGGCTATGTGCCCCCAGTCACCCATGACTTTACTGCTGCTTGTTCATCTGGGTTCAATAGGCTGCCAGAGAGAGGTTGTCAGAGAAGAACCCCCTTTTTTCAGGTTGGCATAAATGTGGTCTGTCTATGGTAGTACAAGAAGCCCATGGGAAAACACTGACAAAGTTGTCTCAGTGTTCTTGATGTATCTGGTGCAAATGGATATTTTAACTTCTACCTCTATATCTGGCCTATTCAATTCAATGGCATGAGGTTATGGCAAAACAACAGATGAAAGTCTCTCTTGATTTTGGCACATTTACACCAATGCAAAGTGTATTGAATAATTGTTTCCCTCTGCTCCATGCCTTGCTGGTTCTATAATATCCCCTTGAGCCTTAAGAACATATTGGGTATCAAAAAAAAAAAAAAAGAAAAAGGAAAAATATATAATTATTATTATATAGTAAATCACGATAAATTATTATATTATCCCCTTATCCATCCTTACCTAGGTGTGTCTGAAAAACAATGTGCACAATTTCAAAGAAATTGAAAAAGCAATAAAATTTCTGCTGTTTGATATGCTCAACACAGAGTATATTCTGGTTATTATAAAAATACATAATCCGATTTTAATATTTAAGAAGTATTTCAAGATTTCACAGTGTCTTAGAGTCAGTGATAAATTATGCTACACACATGTTACATAAAACAGCACTCTGACTATAAGAGCATTAGATAAGCATTTCCCTTGAGTGTTCAGTGATATTTTCCAGCAAAGATAGATTAGGGATGTTCTGTTGAATCAGCTGCCCAGTGTGGAGAATAGGGGGCATCACACGTCTACTGCAGTGGCTAATGAATAAGAACGTCACTGGGGGCCTCACTCTGCAGAGTACACCAGTGGCAGGAAAACTGCCACTTCAGGGAGAGCTACAAGCACCAATCACACAGAGCTCTGGAATGTAGCTGGACAGCAAGCTCCCCAAGAGGAGATGACAGACCATGATTCTCAAATGCAAACTTTCCAACGTCCTTGCAAAAAGCTTATATCCATATATAATTTCTTCATGAAAATAATTTGATGTGGCCAGCTAGGTAGAAAATTAGAATTGCTGCAAGATTATGAATACTTTTCTGGATAAGTCACATTGCTGATACCACCTAGATAACGAGATTGAACCCAAGAAGATCTGTGGCTGCTGCTTTTCAAAACTTGCAGTAAACAGGCATTCCCTCTCAGTTTAAAAGTGACCTAGGGCCTCCTGGTGCTCACCATAGGCTGCATTCTTACACCCATTGTATAGAAAGAGGAAGGAGAACAAACCTACCCTATATACCCTCAGCTCAGGCTCTATGCCTGGTCTGCATTGTAAATGGAGATTTATAGAGAAAGAAAAGAAAAAAGTGACCTCTGATTATTAATACTACAAAACAAAACACACACAGGAAACCCAAACCTGCAGGATGTTTTCTCTAGACTACTAAGATGACAACCTATCCAAAAGCTACTTTGCAAGTGTAACTCCTCTGTCTTTGAGTTCATTTGGGGAGAGGGTGATAGCAAACAAACTGGCTGCATGGCTCTTCATTTTCAGGAACTAACTAGAACATCAGAGCCGTACAACAAAAAAAATCTTTTACTGATTTTCTTCAGGCTTTTGTCATTTAAAGGGCCCTTGCATTCTTTAAAGTGAGAGTTCATTTAATTCTGTAATGACAGATCTAAGACTATCCATCGGAAAAATCTTCTTTTTGGTTGCATATACCTGCAAATAAACCAAAAATCGATGAATTGCATACTCTGAATGAAGAGAACGGTGTGGTATGTGAATGATATCTCAATAAAGCTGTTAAAAAAAAGTTCTGACTTTATCAGCACAATTTTTTTTTTTAATCACCAAAAAGAGAAAATAAAAGCTCCCATTTTGCTGCTTAAGCCATGTGTTGACGTCACCCAGAAGAATTATGTCTGCTGTGGGGAACTTTTCAAGGTATATGCAGATGCAGCATAACTTGGCTTCCTGTTATCACATAAGTAGAGCCAGGATCAAGAGGGAGGGGCAAGGCCAATGGGACTTTGAGAACTCACTTGGAACAGGGGCTGATCACAGTCGGTGTAGGTGGGTAAACCAAGGCAATATTCACTCGCTCGCTGCCGTTCTTGGGGCAAATGATCTCTGCCACTCCTTCTGGTCTGGGCTGACTCAGCAACTCCCCTGCAGGAGAGAGGAAAATGCGTTAAGGAGATGTACCCTAAAAATGGGAAGGCAGTGCTTGCAGATGGAGGAGGGAGTGGAAGGGAGAAGGGCAGGTTGTGAGGAAGCAAAGCATCTATAGACACTGGAGTCAGGCAATGCACATGCAACCACAAACAGTAGAGCTGTTCTGTCTCCTGGCTTCACTTCCTAAATTCTCATCTGTGTCACTGTGGAGAATGTTCTAATGGTCATGGCAGAAAGGCCTGGCTAGACAAAGACAGCATCTGTTGCTGTCCTGCTCACCTTTCTTTTCACAGACTGACTCTGGAGACCTTTATCTAGAAGTCACCAATTGAGCCAGGCTCCCCAGAATCCAATGAGGCAAGGGCTGCCAAAGAGGTGTTTGTGATTAGAATTGGGGCAGATGGAATTCAAGCAGACTCCACCAGCCTTTCAACAAAGCCCTGCATAAATGATCTGGAAACGCAGCTGACTAAAGGTGTTAACAAGGCTGACAGCCTAAGATCTGCCCAGCCTCTTCCTGGCAAGTAGACTTCCCAGATAGGTGTGTGTGTAGAGTTGGAAGCACTAACACACTATCTTATGACTAATGGGGCTTTAGTAAAGAAGGTAATTAACTTAATGGATTGCCAAAATATCTAAAGGAAATCTGTTTCTCTGCATGCCTTGGATATCATCTCTTTCCAACTAGATCATTAAATCCTAAGAGCAGCAATGACTTCCACTCCTTAGTTTCCACTCCCTCGTCCATGCACCTGGGCACCCTCCCTTCCTCAGGGAGTACTCAATGAAGGGCTTCTGAATGATGATGGGACATGCTATTACTTAAACTGCCTTCCTTAAACCTAGAAAGTAAATATAAACCAAACTTAGGACACGGAACATATACCAGCTGGGAAGAGACACTACTAAAGCGGAAACTCCAACTCTACAGCAGCCATCACTGCCACTGCTGACTTAAATTCTAGAGACACTAGGGTGGCTGACCCCCTTATCCCTGGCAGATATATTCCAAGACCCCAGTAGGTGCCTGAATCTGTGGATAGTACTGAACTCTATATAGGCTATGTTTTTTCCTATATAGTCATACCTATGATAAAGTTTACTTTATAAATCAGGCATAGTTAGTTAGAGTAACAACAACAACTCATAATAAAATAGAACAATTATAACAATATAACTAAAGTTATATAAACATAGTCTCTCTCTCTCTCTCTCTCTCTCAAAATATCTTATTGTACTGTACTCACCTATTTTCAGACCTTGGTTGACCTTGGGTTATTGAAACCACGGAAAGTAAAACCACAGATGGAGCGGTACTGTATATGCTGACATTCAATGACATAAAATTCCTTTGCCTCAAATTATCATTTTTTTTTTTTTGAGTTGGAGTCTCACTCTGTCACCCAGACTGGACTGGCCGCTCCCGGCCACTGCAGCCTTGACCTGCTGGGCTCCAGCGATCCTTCCGCCTCAGCCTCCCAAGTAGCTGGAATTACAGGCATGCACTACCACACCTGGCTGATTTTTTAATTTATTGTAGAGATGAGGTCTTGCTGCCCAGGAGGGTCTGGAACCCGCGGGCTCAGGCAATCCACTCACCTCAGCCTCCCAAAGGCAAGGGATTACAGGCTGAGCCACCGAGCCTGGCTGACATATTTATACTTTTATGAAAGTCATTAATTGCCTGATATGACCATTTTTCTACAGCATTACACAATAAGAATTGAATGCAATGTGAGTTTCTTATCCAAAATGCTGTAAACACCATACTACTGCCAAAGTTAATTTAGCATTGTTAGCTTGTATCATGGATACAAGGGTATCAGAACTGTACTCTGATTCCAGCTAGGACGAGATCCCCAAACATAAAAATGTAAGTTAAAAATGTGAACATTAAATACCATCAAAGTAATGAAATGAGCCCAAGTAATAGCATGTTCGAGCCAGACTGAAACCTGGAAGGCATCCAGCCCACATAGCCATTCATAAGTCAGAAGCTCTCTGAATTTAACAGATTTTCTCCAAGTCCCACAGAGAGCTGCATGCCTATAAACCAACCCACCCCTCACAGACCATGGGACTAGCACTGCCATGAGAAGGGGTCCTGAGCACCCCTGGTCTCTTGGCCAAGCCCCTAATCCTAGACTACTCTCATCTGATATATTCAATTTCTACTTCCTGTCCTATGATTATCTCTAGGGCTTGAACATAGACTGGACTCCTCTAGTTTTCTCTAAAGACTCTCTCCTGATTGGAATTTCACACAGACCTCAGCCCCATCTGCTTTTGGCTGCCTGGGCAACAGGGATAACAACTGCAGATGCAAAGGTTCTGTCCCCAGCACCCTTCCCTGGCACCAGCCTGACACAGCTGGCTTCTTGGCTGAGTATGTTGTAGCTTTTGGTAAGTGAAAGACTAGGTTGCCAGAGAATATGAAGTAACATACACCACTATTAAGCCTCGGTTACCAATTTCTATTAAACCAATAGCTTTCTATTAAACCAGACTCTCAGTGTCATGTAGTCAGGTGACTGATTTTGTTGGGGTCCTGCCCCTAGCTAGCAGCACTATTCCCAGCCATGAAAATAGCACCAAAGCAGGAGACATGGAGAAGTTTCACACACATGAAACACTGATCTGATATTAATGAATGCCGAGCAGGGAGAACAGTTCACAATTTCCAGCACACCCATCCACCCCAACAACCCCCTACAGGGTGCCAGTATTCCTAGGATCTAAGAAGTATGCAAAGTTTCTAGATTACGAACATAAGATAAATAGCTCTTCTCCTCTCAAACAGATCTTAACACAAATACAAAGAGTGGTTTATTAGTTTGTGTTATCTAGTAAAATAGCAGAAACTAATCATCCTCAAATTTAACACGAACTTGATCTTCCAAATAAAATGCATTTATTCACTGCCTAACTAACTACTGAGACCTTCTTGTATGTGAAGACCGAAGAAGATGCAGGGGGTTCAGGATTCTAGGGCATGGCCTCTGACATAGGGGATCTATGTCCATGGAGGAAGACAAGTGCAAAGAACTACCATTCTATATGATGGGTGCCCCAACGAAATTGATGAGATGCTAGAGGAGTCAGGTGGAGAGATTCTTACTGACTTGTGGGACTGGGAAAGATATCAAAGAGTAGGGATTTATATTTCAAACTGAAAAATAACCTAAACTATCCCAGGAAATAAAAAAAAAAGATGATCACAGGAGCAACTAAAATCCAGTGAGCATTTATTATGTGCTGCTTGATGTTGTATATAAATTATCCTCATGACAAGGGATAATTATTATCTTCACTATGCAGAAGAGGAAACTGAGAATCAGATGGGATAAGTAATTTGCCAATGGTCACAGGAAGAATTGGCAGTGCCAGGATTTGGAACCAAAACTATCTGACTCAACTCTTAACCACCAGATCATGATATCCTTTGTCAAGGATATGATGATGATTAAATTAGATGATATATACATGAAAAGTACTAAACACTATATTTGGCATCTAGGAGGTTCTTGACACTATTATTACAGTCATGAGAATATTTTGTAAAGGTTATTCTTTCAAATGTATAAAAAATTCATTCAAGCACAAGATCAGTACCAAGAATCTCTGTGGTAAAGCGATATACCAGAATAAGACCATAAATTATCTTATGCCAAACATCGCCCACCCGAAAAATGTGAATAAAAAATTTAGATCTTACTACAAATCTGTCATCACTAGCAAAAGTGAATTAAAAAGATATAACCCAAAGTTTGTGGGAGCTGTCAAAAAAAAGTGACACTTACAGAAAACATGTTAACAATAGATTTTAAAAATATATCCATTTGGCCTTAAATACTTATATTTTCAGGAACTTGGTTATAGAAAGTAGGCCTTTCTTTCTGACAAAGATTATACAATGACGGCTCATGACAGCACTGTTTACAATATGGTGAAACCTTGGTAACTCCCTCAGCATCCAAAAATGTGGAAATGGCTAAAAACTATGACACATTAACAAAATGGAATATTCTGTAGTCATTAAGTACTGTGAGGTTGGCCAGATGCGGTGGCCCATGCCTATAATCCCAGCACTTTGGGAGGTCGAGGTGAGAGGATTTCCTGAGCCCAGGGGTTAAAGACCAGCTTGGGGGAAACTTAGTGAGACCTCATCTCTACAATAAACCAAGAAAAATTAGCTAGGCATGGCGGTGGTGCATGCCTGTAGTTCCAGCTACCTGGAAGACTGAGGTGGAAGGATCACCTAAGCCCAGCAGGTCAAGGCTGCAGTAGCCATGAGAGTGCCACTACACTCCAGTCTGGGCGACAGAATGAGACTCCAACTTAAAAAAAAAAAAGAATTGTGAGACTGACATTTCCAGGTGGAAATGTAAATTTGAAAGTACTTTTTAATTAGAAACACAAACAGACCAAGAACATACATGAATACAGAGTAAAATGGGTCAATAAAGATGAACTGGTCCTGGGATTTTTTTTCTTACTTATTTTGACATTTGAGTCAATAATAAAAGAGACTAAAGTATGCTTCATACGGACGGGAGATGCCAACTTTAAATGCTGATGCTATCTCCTTTGCTGGAGATCTTCTATTCATGTGCAGCTTACAATACTATTAGTCTCTTCAGAGGTACAGAAGTTTGGCCTACTGCTCAGAACACTGCATTTACTGATACTATATCAGGCTACAACACATTCTCCTTGCGCCCATTAAAGCTATGAAAAACTGTACTTAATTACTCTGGCTCAGGCTTTCTGCCATTAAAATGCTAGCAAACTCTTATCAACTGTTTTTCCAGAGCGCTAAGTTTTGAGTTTTTTTTTTTTTTTAAATCACCAGAAGGTAAGTGAAATGGGCTCATCCTTTTCTGCTAATCATTAGAATTCTCAAATTCTGGGCACATTATACAAAATGACTCCCACTGCAATGTTAAAAGCCCCCAATTTTTTTTTTTTTTGAGTTGGAGTCTCACTCTGTTGCC